CAAGAGGGGGAGTTGTAGACATTTTATGTAAGTCTGGATTAAACTGAAAATCCGGTTTTCACCGTATAAAAATATGTCATATATCTTAATAGGCTGTAAAGCAGGAAAAATAATCTCGGATCCTCCGGCTCGAAGTTATAGATGTCTAAGTTTATTATTAAGCGTGAGAGCACACTCGGAGCTCCCACAGCTTAGGGAGAAGGAGCAAAGTTCTTAAAAGAAAGATTATGCCCCTGTAATCAAGATTGATGGCGGCTCTACAAAGGTATCCCCAGTGCATTTAACACTTCCTAACTTGCAGCCGTGGTTTTGAAATTTGCCATTTTTAAACCGTACGGTGTGGATTCGCCAGATTCATATCTGTAATCTGGTCTATCATTTAAACACATTTAAATTAAAGCTACCTATGCACGTGTAATGTTTAAAATTAGTCGTAGAAAAAAAGTGCCAAAAATAATTCACCCCGTACAAGAACATCAGTTAAGTTTAGAAATTACAGATCGTTTTTATGTAGGGTGATTCAGAACTTTCCAACAAAAATTTTTTGAATGTTCAGGAGACTCTTGCAAACACAATTTTGTAAAAAAAAATCAAAAAGGGCAGTTCGAAAATGATTTAAAAATACACTTCTGCACAACAACATGTATAATGTGATCATATTTTCATAAAAGTTAAGGTTGATTTGACTATAAATTAAGTTAAACATTACTTTAAGTATTTTTGCTTAATACTTACTTAGATAACTTTTAAGGAGGTATATCGGGTTTACTAAAATGTACAGATATACTTGAAATTTATATAGCGTATTACCCAGTGCTTCCTCTGTGCGTCATATTTTTTTGTAATTTTTTTTTAATCTAGATTTTGAGATATTGTTGTTGAAAGTTGTTCATTTTAACATAGGTTTATATGGCGAAGATGGACGGTGCGGTTCTTTTTTTGCCCATAACTGAGAAAAAAATGTAGAAATTGTGAAACAAAACTTTTCGAATAAATAGTACACAGTATTATCTTATTTTTGAAGTAAAACTAATGTAAGTTTTGAACATAGTACAGCTGTATTAATTAGAAACAGAAACCAATAATTGCATTTCTGTTTGACTTGAGGATTAATGTGGCAACGTCGCAATCAGCTGACACCAAGGAGGGAATACATTTGAAAGACTTGATAAAAACGAAATTGACTTGAAACATATACATTTTTCCTAAATCCCATATACATTGTTATCAACAATAAATTATCCACAACAGATTATTTTTTGTAATGTTTTTAAAAAACTAAATTAATTAAAAAAAGGCTAGGAAGCTGTGATATATTTATTGAAATAAAAAATACAATTGATAAATCCTTTTAATATATTGAATGGTTTATAAAAACATCGTAATCCGTACCCAGCAATATTTAGGGTTACATAAAGTTTTCTTTACTTGATTAATATAATCAGTAATACTTGAGATAAAAGCATTTGTACAGAATAACAAAGGAACATAAATATTTCTTAGCAAACTTTATATCTAAAAAATTAGTTATAGTTGCAAAACTGTTGTAACATTACTAAAATAGAGATGAAAAACGCGAACAGTGAGTAATAGTGTAATTTCTATCACAGAACCTTCAAAATTGCATCCAACATTTTCTTTGACTTGGACGAGAGATGGGCGCGAGTGCCATTTCATTTCTTTAGAACTAAATTAACATAATTATTTTCTCTATATATAATAATTATATTTTACATAGTTTACACACAATACATTTTTGAACGCGTACGCATCTTTACCCGAATTTGACGCGCAATATCTCCAATATCCGAGGTCTGTAGGTTCGCAGTGTGTACAACTGCACTCGATTATTAGCGCTGTTGCCACATCTACACAGTGTTTATGCGTTCATTAAATATAATTTAAAACTACTTAAATATGATATTTTTATGTTATTAATTTTCAATATGTTTGTTATGTGCATATTGAGTTTCTTTGCTATATAGATAATGTTTATCGCAAATAATTTCAATAGAATTTAATTTTTTCAAGTTGGTAGCGGGTTTTAGTCCCATAAAGCATAAAAGCATAGGACCCCCCTGCGATCCTCACTTCCCTCGGACCCCGATATACCTACTTAAGTTAAACGATGTTTAAACATCTTTTACACAAACTATATTAGTATATCCGTTTTTAATGCACAAACAGCACTTAAAAATATGGACAAATCGCGAATCATCTAATCACAAAATGTAAAAACTATTTCTTTTTCTATTTCTTCCTAATTTTTCAAATCAAACAAAGCCGTCAAGGGGGCAGACTTAAGCTCCCTACCATTTTTTGTCTTCCTTAGAATTTTATCGAAATATTCAATAAGGGCTTAATAGGAACGTTTCATAATTTCCAACAATGTTTTTGTAACTACATCCTAAATCAAGCGAAATGGGCATTTCAGCAGACGACGCCAAATGGCCTATTGTACCTCAAGTCGAAAAAATACAAAGGATATTGGATTATTAGCTACCAACTCTGCATAATGTATTTTTTCATTACCTCCTAAAGGTACAGTGCCTGATTAAGTCCCCCATCGGTGCTCGGAGTTATTATTAAATGCCGCCACAATACGAATGGACAAGGGAGAACCGCGAAAAGAAAACAAACAAGCGATTCGGTGGAGCGCAAGCGGCAATTACCCGGTAGGTAATGTCGTTCCGAAACGGGTTATTCTGTTACTTTCGAATTTAATAAAGACAGCAAACTTTTTCAATTGACGTCGCCCCGTCCTCTAATACATTTCTTGTAGGCGGTCGCGGGGAATGCCCAATATTACAATAAGTAAATAACTCGATTGTGCTCATCTGAATTTCAAATCGTTTCATTCGATATGTTTCTTTTATGCAACGCTCATCTAAATAAATGTATCTTCAAATAAAATTATGCTTAAGCGAAACTCTTGTTTCGTTTCTGCAGCTTCCGATATTTTTCGAATTTAATTGGTACAATATGGCGAAAAGGGAATTACTTTCTGCGTATATTAAACGGAAACAGTAGAATTTTCTTCAGGAATTTGTTTTTACTTTACTTCGCGTGTATGAAACTACAGGATTAGTGTCAAGAATAGTGCTGGCAACTGAAATCGGTTTTTTGGATAGTCGGTTAATTTATTTCGGATAATTCGGATTTCTACGAAACCCGAAAACCGGTTATTCGATTCTTCAAATATCCGATTTTTCAAATAACCGTTTATTCGATAATCTGTATTTTAAAGCATTGTGTTTACTACATGAAACTCAGTCCCAGACCTAGTCCCAGTTTAACTTCATAATATCAATCCTCCTGTAATGTATAATGTAACATTTAAAAAACTTGAAGTTTATGTTATAACTTAAAAACGAAAGTGCACACGAACAATTTGATCACACAGTCTTATTAACACTGAAAAAACCTGAAACTTTGTAATTTATTTTTTTTTTTTTGTAAAACAAATAGCAACATGCATCTGAAGGAATTGACCGAATTCAATTTTTTCCAAATATCTAGTCAGCCATAACGTTTTTTTTTTTTTTAAATGGAAGTAACATTTAATCAGGATCATAAAACCGCACATCTTTCCTCATTTAATAGATATTTATTTATTTTATACAAGGGAAAAAAGTACTAGATTTTAGCTCGAGGTTGTGTTGTCTCCCGACGCGAAGCGGAGGGAGACAAAAAACCGAGAGGTAAAATCTACTTTTTTCCCGTGTATAATACACTATTTTTTTCTGTGACGGGAAAAACAACGATTTAATAATGAAAAAACATTAATACCTACAATATATTAGTCTCTAAAGTTTTAAATTGATAGGCTGTTATACTTATAGCGACAATTACATCTGCGTTGCTAAGGAAACCTTTAAAGTAATCAAATATCTGTCAATTTAATTATGTGATTTGATTTAAAAATTGCAAACTTAGTGGTTGTTTAGTAGTTATTTTGAATAATATAAAGTTAAAAAATGTCTGATTCCGAGTTTTCTCTGACTCCACCGGAGTTAGTAGAACCAGCGAAAGTAGCGTCACAAAAATTATTGCCAGCTAAATCGCGTTACTTATGTATATTGTATATATCCGGGAAAAAAGTACTCACTTTTTTCCCTTGGAAAAAAGCAATTTCATAAAAGTGACATTTTGTTACCTGTCAACAGAAATAAAATGTCACTTTTTTCCCGTTACAGAAAAAAACATTTTAATTTAAGTTTATTTTAGGTCTGTTCCAACAAAGAGTCAGAGATTGGTTCCGAACCGTTCGAAATGTTTGGCCAGTTATGTTCTAAATGTGTCTTCAGTGAATATATCGCAAGAATTAGTTGGATGCACATTTCGAACGGTTCGGAACCCATTCCTGACTCCTGTTGGAACAGATCTTTTATTAGTTCTTTCCCTAAATCACCAGTGTGATGAAGAAGGAATAATGTTTAATATTGACGGTTGGTTTGTAGCTCTTTTTTACACAATAAAATAGTGCCATTAAAAAATATTATTAAAAATTACAATTATCAAACCTAGAGTAATTATTTTTAATATTTTTTTATTTTATGATTATTATTACTATTATTATTATTAAGAACTTTTAAGAGCTGAAGCAAATGATTAAGCTCTAATACAAAAAAAATTTCTTTAACTTTTTCAATTCTAAAACAGCAAACACACTGAAGCTCTTGCAAAAATAAATTTTGGAAAAAATGCCCTACAATAAATGAAAAATTAAATTTTTTATGTTGAATTTAATATATTTTTTTCCACGACGCGACGATACGAAATCTCCCCTATTTTCTGCGCCTCTGGATTTATTTATTTTTATCATAGAAACGTAGGCCCATGCTCTAGTCTAGATTTACATAAATACTAGAATTGGAACGTATCTCCTTTTTTGTTGGGTTTTGGAACACGGCCATCGACCTTCAACATGACATTTGACAACAGCCTTCTAAGCATTTGACAAGGCATAAGGATTTAAGGAAATCCAACCTCAAATTTTATTTGATATTTTGTGGTTGAGAATTTAAATACGTTCTCTTAGCTATGTTAAAAATTTTAAAACTGTATAATAGATATTCGAAACTGCCAACTGGAAACTACTCCCGAACTGTATCGATTATTAATTTAAGCAAACATGACTATGAAAAATATAGATTAACTAATGTGTGTAGAAAATATCAGAGAAAGAAATGGAAGAATTTCGATCATCATCTGAATAATTCATCTTTTGTATTTGCTGTAGGTCTGGGCATTGTTATTTGCGATGCTATCGATCAAATGCGAGAAGAAAAACGATTTTTTAAAGCCTCACAATTTGGTCTGATACATGAAATAACTAGGTAAATATCTCTAAATATAAGTAATGAATCTTGATCCATATTCTACTCTTTAATTAATTTAATTGTCTTATTATGTACTGTGTATGTGTATTCTGCAAATATATCTATGAAATAAAATTATGTTTTAGATTCATAAAAGATGGCATAGATGTAAATAGAAGACACCATTTAGGTTGGACAGCTTTAATGGTAGCCACAGTGAATGAACAGTATGAAGCTTCTGAATTATTACTGAAAGCTGGAGCTGATCCAAATATTGCTGATAATTTTATTAATGCTAACCGAACAGCCAATAAAGTAGGCTTACATCCAATTGAAGGTAACATTGCTAAAGGGATCCTATTCATTTTCATGTTGCAATCAAAACTGCCATTTTTTTTGAAAATATCTTAGTTTGTCTCGTTTTCAGTGTTAATGATGAGAGATGAAGAATTTTCAAGTGGTCTAAACAATAAGGCCACATTTCTGGGATTCACAGCTTTGCATTATGCCGCTCTTACCAACAATCTTGGTATTATTAAACTGCTTATAAAATATGGCGCTAACCCCAATTTGGAGAATGAAATGGGGCACAAGCCTGTTATGTACAGTAATAGTGATGAAATTAAAAAATATCTAACAACTCAAATGCAGAAAGTAAGGATATTTTTTTTATAATTAATCAATTAAATTGCTTGATATTAATTTAAACATGATACACTTACTAGGTATACATTTTTTACAGTTTGAAGAATTGCAACGAGAGAAAGAGATTGAAGAACGCAGAAGGTATCCGTTGGAAGAGAGATTGAAAAAATATATTGTTGGACAAGAAGCAGCAATTGCAACTGTGGCAGCAAGTGAGTCTTTTTTTTTGAAGTTACAATAATATTACTTTGTTGTTTACATAAACAAAATTTAAATTTTCAGTACTTATATTTTACTTTACGTTACTTTTGCATGACAGTCAGTAAGGCTAAAGATTATTACTGTGTTTCTGATCAAAGAGTTGTAAAAATAAGATCAAATGCTTAGTTATTAGTACTTTGGATTGATCATAAAAGCATGTTAAGAAACATTTCTTTATCATAATCTTTTAAACTAGGTACTAATATTTTGGAATCTACTCATTAATATGCACTATTATTAATGGTTTAAAATTATGAGTTAGATATTATCTAATTTTTGTAGCTGTCCGGAGAAAAGAGAATGGCTGGACAGACGATGATCACCCGTTAGTATTTTTGTTTTTGGGCTCATCAGGTATTGGCAAAACCGAATTGGCTAAACAACTTGCTACATACGTTCACAAAGATAAGCAGCATGCATTTATTAGATTAGATATGTCGGAATATCAAGAGAAACACGAGGTATCCTAATATTTAAATTACCTGTTTAATAAATTCTCATAACATTTATTATTGTAGGTTTAAAAAAAATTTCTTAAGTTTGTCTGATTTTATAAAATAACATCAAAAATAGTGCGAATTATTTTCCGAATCTTTTAAATTTTCCATTTAAAAAAATTCATTGTGCATTGTGGGGCATTCCCTGGGAATCATAGGATTTCTACAATGCATGTACTTTTTTGGTGGTGTGGTTACCCCTTCGAATATGGTTTGATAAACCAAAAATATATCTTCCTCTAAATAAGTTTTCGTTTACGATTGTCTAATTTCCAAAGACATACTTGTTGGTATTAACTTTCCAGTCAGTTCTTTTATCATTACTTTATCCGTTTACTGAGTTCAAAAAATATATCGTCCTATTTTAAATTTTTAAATTAGGCACTTTTGTCTTCTCTAAATAATTGTTTGTAATATCATTAAATTAATTGTTTTTGGAATAGGTGGCCAAATTGATAGGGGCGCCTCCTGGTTACGTAGGCCATGACGAAGGAGGCCAACTAACAAAAAAATTGAAAAAGTGTCCGAGTGCTGTCGTCCTCTTTGATGAAGTGGATAAAGCCCATCCCGATGTTCTTACGGTTCTTCTGCAATTATTTGATGAAGGCAGACTTACGGACGGCCAGGGTAAAACTATTGAATGCAAGGACGCTATATTTATAATGACTTCTAACTTGGCCAGTGACGAAATAGCGAATCATGCTATACAGTTGAGGAGAGAGGTGGAGAAATTAAAAAAGGAGAGGCTTAGTATTTCAGATACCAAAGGTGAGTGAAATATTTGATGTGAGAAATAAATAATTCGTTTATTCAACTTGTTAGAAAATGAAAAATATATTTCGGATAATATTCACATATCAAGGAAATTTAAAGATGAAGTGGTGAAACCTATACTGAAACGGCATTTTAAAAGGGATGAGTTTCTTGGTAGGATAAATGAAATTGTGTATTTTCTTCCGTTTTCAAGGAATGAGCTGTTGCAACTTGTCGGAAAGGAACTTCAGAGTTGGGCACAAAGGGTATGTTAATTTTTTTCCTTTTTTACTAATTCATTACTAGGGAAAACATAAAAAGTGTTTTAATGAAAAGTAAAATGCATACAAACAAATAATTCATCAATACAACTGTTGTGTGTGCCGAGCTCTCGACCCTCCACCACTACCTCCCATACATTTTTCGTGAATTTCTGCTAGGTCCAATAGTTTTAATTGACATTTTATATGGGTTGCACAAGGGCGCAAATTTTGCTAATTCACTCCCAGAATTTACTCGGAATGACAAAGGTATTTGTTTAAAAAACAGCCCTCCTCCAGACCTCGTAGTTACCTCACAAATGCCGGTCAACTTTGATCGACTATAACTCTGGAACCAATTAACGAATCACCACTTTTTTTTTTAAAGAAGTGTTTTTCCGAGTACTTTAACCCTTTCGCTGCGCAATACGTCTGAACGTAGCTACCGCGCCGTGCGCGATTGTTTATCGCGTGCGAATATATACGTCTGGAGCAGTTAGACCACTTATAGTTTTACATTATGTTGTGTTAAATTACGATTTATGATAAATTTTATGATTTTATTTTGAATAAAATACAGTATATGTACTAAATAGAAACAGAAAGAAACATGAACAATCTTGGTACTATTACCAGTACCTCTTTCCATAAAAATATTTGTCACAATCGGTATAAGCTCGCCCGCAAAAATTCGCCTTACCAATTGCAATAACCGAGTCACTGTGCGCACGGTTGCGAATATATACGGTTTGAGCAGCCTGATCCAATTTAACTATTCATGCGAATTTATCCGTCTGGAGCAGTTTGAGCCCTATAAATTTTTGGCAAATATATACGTCTGGAGCAGTGAAAGGGTTAAAAGCATAATTTTAAAATAATATTTATAAAGTTATTCTATTTGTTTATCAGCGCAAAAATTACGCATATATTTAAACAATTACCACGGCTCTCCTAATTAATGAATTTCAATTTTTCTGGACACATTTTAAAGTTTGAGTGCCCTTTTTTATGTGATAAAATTTTCAAGTATCTAGAAGTCTTAATTTAGGCTCAGTTAAATTTAAATTAAATTTAAATTTTTTTTTCAAAAACCTGGATTGCAAAATTATTACTCGAAAACTATCCGACCAATTTTAACGAAAATTGGTGTGATGTTTTATTATATCAAAAAGATTTTTTTGATCAAGTATGAAGATCCTACATATAAGTACTTTTAAAAAAATCGCAAAAATATTGTAATTTTTTTGTTGTTTTTGCTATATTTCCAGTAATTGTTGTATTTTTTTAGTTGAAAATAGTTATATCGTGTAAAATTTAATTACAAATCTTTTTCCTCTTCAATTTTTCTCTAAAATTAATAGTTTTTGAACTGTGTTGAAAAAAAGGGAAAAAATCGAATTTTTTCCAGTTTTTTCACTGTTTGTTTAACAATAAGTTTTGCATACATTTTGAAGCACGCGCATAGTGAAATTATGTTTTGTTATATCATTTTAGAACCATTAAAGCAAAAACTAGCTGTACTATATAAAACATCCATACATGGGTATTTTGAAACAGATCCTGCCTGGTCTATTAGGAAACCATTGAAATGATATAAACAAATATCAGATACAACTTCATGTTTCTGTTATTTATAAGACATTAATACCAGTGGATTACCCACTACCCCGTTAAATTTTATAAGATTGTAGATGATCGCTTAACTTAATCATATTATCAAATTGAATCTGTCTGTCTGTCTGTCTGTCCTTTGAAAATATGTCCTTAACTTTTTGACAATGAATGTGATTCTTGCTCATTTTCGAAAAATATTTGATATTATCGTAATAAAGTTCAAGTATGGTGAACTAGACGAGGAGCACTAGTAGCATTACCACTGCGGTCTATTGACTAAACCCTATCTACATTTTTTATGAGGAGATTTAAAAATTAGTGTATTGTGCTGAAACAGCCACTTTGATGGTTTAAATGAATATATTACAGCTAATCAAAACAGACAGAACATTTATCTTGTCAATACTGGCATGCCCAAATGTACTGGGTGTCCAGGAATTGATTTCCCTTTTTAAACTCGAATAACTTGGCAAGAGTGTAACGTAGCAAGGTCGGGTTAGCGTCGTTCGATAGTGACTCGATGCTCATTATGTAGTAACAATGGTTCATTATTGAAGCATATGTCAAGAGTAACGATTCTTACACAATTGCACGGCGAAGGTTTTGTGCTCACTTCAATATTAGGCGTGTAGAGAACACACCAAGTAAAAATTTGGTCAAATAGTGGGTGAGGAAGTTTAGAGAAACAGCGTCAGCTACAAATGTGAAACCTCGTGGTCGCCCAAGGACTGTAACTGCTCCTGAGAATGTACGTGCTGTGATACTTAGAAATCCAAATAGATCGAGTCGTAAAATAACATGTGCAAATCACCTTTCCACACAATTTTAAGGAGAGATTTGAAGTTTCATCCCTACACGATTCAAATAGTGCAAGAATTAAACCTAAATGACTTTAGAAGCCGTCGTTCTTTCGCCGAAACAATGATAGACTATTTTTTTTGCAAACGACCGAATTAACAACATTCTGTTCAGTGATGAAGCGCACTTTCATCTTGCAGGCGCAGTTAATAAACAAAATTGTTGCTATTGGGCAACAGAGAATCCAAAGAAAAAACACGAAATTCTCCAACATAATCCAAAGGTGTGGTGTGCTATGTCGGTGTCAAAAATTATTGACCCTTATTTTTTTGAGAATCGACGCGGCGTAGCCCAGACTGTAAATAGTGATCATTATTGTGCAATGCTTCGGACGTTTTTGGTACCTCAGCTGCAAGAATTTGATGGCTTTAATCAGGATACATGGTTTCAGCAAAATGGGGCCACCGCACATACAGCCCGGGCATATAGAAGTCGTTTAAGAATTATTCCCGGAAAAGGTCATCTCTCGCTTTGGAGATCTACACTGGCCAGGGAGGTCTCCCGATCTCACCACACTGGACTTATTTTTTGTGGGGATATCTCAGTAAGTAAAGTTTATGTTAATAGACCTAGGACTTTGGAAGCATTAAAACAAGAAATATGGGAAGAAATAAATGGAATTCCGTCTGCAATGTGTTTAGCAGTTTTTAACCACATGAAGACGGTATTGCAAGAGTGTTTTGACCAAAATGGAAGACACCTCGACAATATAATTTTTAAAACATAAAATCTGCCTATATTGTGTGTATTTTTGCATAAATAAATAAATTTTAAAACTTCAAGACAATTTTTTATTAGCCTTTAAAAAGGGAAATTCATTCCTGGACACCTAGTATATACGAGTTATTTACTGGTTACATTTAATAAAACTAGGAATTAATAACAATAATTAATTGACTAAAATAAAACGTTTGTGATGAAACTTTCCTGATTTATTACTTTGTAAATTCTTTTCGTTTCTTATACGTAAAATATTTATACATGCCGATTGACCGTGTGTGCATTGCGTTGAGTCAGATACTACAATTAACCAAATTTGAATAGCGTGTATATAAATATTTTTAAATAGTTTTCAAAGCACCCTCTTTGATTTGTGTTGTATACAATTATATATCCCTTAATTTACCACCCTGTATGTCAATTAGAGTTACTAAGTTTTACCATTATGACATTTTTTATATTTTCTTTGAAAATTTCAGCAGTCGGCATAATTAAGAATTGTAGTATTTTACAAATTGTCATTTTTTAGGCTAGAGATAAGCATAAAATAGAAATAAAATGGGACAGAGGTGTGGAATCTGCACTGGCAGACGGCTATGATGTGAATTATGGGGCCAGATCCATAAAGTACGAGGTTGAACGCAGAGTTGTGAATCAACTTGCGGCTGCCCATGAAAAGGGCATAATCGGTAAGGGCAGCACGGTGCACATCTTCGCCCTGTTCCCAGAGAATGCAGAAGCACCCGAGATTAAGCTTAAAGTCCGTAAGAGCGGTGTGAAAGAATTCACAGAAGTGGATCAGAACAAACTCTCCATCAAGAATTTAGCTTCCATTTTTACTTAAACGAGTAAATTGCCAAGCCCTTGTCCAATGTGTATATTTTTTAAATTATTTCGCTGTACGTAAGTTTTGAATATAAATAAATGCTGCAACCATAACATTTAATATTTTTATTAATATAATTAACAGAATACAATTAACATGGTTTTGTGACTTGCGTCAAAGTAATGCTAATATTTATAGCCACATCGAATTAAGAATATAGATCCTATATGTTTTTTCATAAAATATATTTGTTGTGATAACAAGGTCGATGAACTTTAAAATACATATTTGGTTTCTGATAATTTCGATAGGCCTTAATTAGGCACATAGCATCTCCTTACATACATAGTCTGAAAACTAGCGAGAATTTTCTGTTACATCGAAAGGACCTATTTCTTATGAGAAAATGTTTGAGAGAGGCAATATATCCCGAAAGCTTATATAAAGCCATTATTTAGTATGCTAGGAGTTTTCCTGAGTCTAAAACTTATAATTATTTGATATTGCTTTGAAATCGTGCTAAAATGGCTATCAGTGTTTTGGTGTTTTGAATATCCCACTTCTGATGGGAATACTCAATTTAGTATTTGTAGCATCATTGATGAAATAAGTAACAAATAATGGACCAAGTTCATAAGCTAATCGTTTTTCTGTCACTTGACTGGAAGTACAATTTCTTTCATTTGAATGAGATACCCAATATTTTTGTGGTTATTTTGAAAGTTACATTTTAAATACATGTGGTCTGTCTTTTTTAGAAAATGCTTTCCTACGCTTTTTTTATTAGGTCATTACCAGCATATAATTTGATTAAGAGGTCATTTTTTCCCTAATTGATACTACCATATAAGTTATACTACCATACCATACAATGAGTTTCAGCCAAATGAAATAAATTCAATAATAAATAGAGATATGCCCGGGACATGTCAGCTGGACATGTCCATCGGACATGTCGTGAAAAGTGGACATGTCCTGAGGACACTTGAAGATTGAAAAATAATAATAATAATTCCCGCAAAAATTTTTTGAGGTTGGTACATATAAAATTAAAGATATTTAGCCATTTTCTTGTAATTTTGTTGGTAATTGTTTAACTGAAACTGACATTTTAAAAATGTAACCTGTTTTATATGTCCATATTTTCTTATTTTTGGCAAAGTTAACGATTAGTAAATAGTAATCAGTTAATTCTTAATTTTGTATTTAATACACAAATAGTTTATAAATGAAGTATGACGCCAAAGTCAACAGTTTGGTTATATTTTTCTGAATTGAGTAAAAATCATTTATATATGTAACTTCTACTCACAAACAATTTTTAAGAATTCCATTAGGATGGAAAAACATTTAAATAAGTGTATTGGCTGTCCGGGGAAAATTAGCAACCAATTTGTAAAAAGTCTAAAGGTGGGTAATAAGTAAAATATATCGACACATATCCATTAGAATAAAAGTAATATTTTGCTTTGTATACTCTGGAGCAGTGAGTTGTGAAAACATGACGTCACTCATAGTTGCCTTACTAGATTCAAGGTCAAAAGTACTTTTCCCGACATGTCCGGACATTTCATCGACATGTCCAACGGACATGTTCGTAACACACTTTTTCGAAAAGTGCCCCTCTCTAATAATAAATAAATGGTGGTGTGTTTGAAAAAACGCTCGGACACATCGACTGGTATTTTTACCAGTTTGGTAATCAAATAATTTTCTTTTTTTAATGTTAATTTTTGCAATACATCTGAAAACATTTTAATATTTCCGAAACAGTTGATGATAGGTATAGGACATTGTACATGAAATATGTCTAGAATTTTCTGAAGAATTCAAAAATTGTATAATATACAGGGTGTTGCATTTAAAATAAGAAAGTTGGTATTGACCACTGTTACATGACACCCTGTATAAAAAGTTTTTGTTGAAAAATGCGCAACTAAAAATACCAATCGAGGTGTCTGAATGTTTTTTGAACACACCCCCATTTATTTAATATTGAATTTGTTCCATTTGTCTGATACAAACTGTATAATTGATCTCTTACCTACTCTACAACTAAGCCCTACATTTAATCTAGATAATACTGGGGATAATAAAATTATAGGTACTATTTACAATGTTGTTTATATAACTAGTGATAATATATTTTCAACTTACGTAAACTATACAGGATGGTTTCTTCTTCAGGAAGTTATTCCTCATATTATTTTAAACAACAAAGCTCAACCTGAAAAATAGGTGTTGAATTTTAAATAAATAATATTTAAATATATCTTGATGAAGATTGGTGACAGAAAAAAAATCACAATTTTATCAACCAGCGAGAGATTGTACAGGGTGTCCCCAAAAAGGGACACTACAGTTTTCAGTGAAGTGTAAACTCCAAAAAGATGAGACATTTTAAACATTTTAAATTTCTATGTCAACGATATTTTATAAAATTTGATTACATTGTATTTATTTAAAATTTTATTTCAAACAAAAAATTTCTAGTCTTATTTTTATGACTTCAATTTATTGAACTATATTTGAGGTTGTTAGTGACTGTCTCTTAATATATTTTTCATTAGTTGAGAGGTTTGTTACCAATTCAATTATGACATGATATATAAAAAAACATCCTGTATATTGGACACACAGTAATATTTTTTTAACCTGAAAGCGATTCTAAAATATACAGTATTTGAGATGCAATCTGGAGGTAAGGAAACTATACATATCCACACGATTTCTTTGCCTTTTTTCAATTTTATGTAAAATACATGTAAAAATATGTAAACTAACGATGCAGTTTTTAAGAAACTGCAAAATAAATAGTCCCTAGTTTGCTGAAATTAAGCCTTTACATCAGGGTGCTTTTGGTAAAAATATTTCTGTGTGTAAAAGAGAATACCTATCGATTCATAACAACGCATAATTTAATTAACCTATTGACCCATTACCTATGTTAAGGCACTTCAGAAATAACGTTTTTTTTACCTTATTAACTTAAGTACTCATAAAATTCATAAAATAATTCAGCTAATTCAGCTATTTAGTAGGCACTATAGATGAAAGATATCAGAAATAAAATTTGAATCTGAAATAAATTTAAACTAAAATAGTATAGAAATCTTTAAAATGTAATTTTCAACCCAACTATGAAGAACATATACAGGATATTATATATTCAAATTTCAAAAATTGTGACCATTTTATTGTAACTATAAGGAAATGATTTGCTTATGAAATATGTCCATTTGTTGCTTATTTTACTCTTGTTAAATATTATGCTAAAAGTAGTGCAAAAAGAGATATAAGTGACTTTATTATAATTTGTGTCACCCTGTATATTAGTTGAAAATAAAAAAATTCCAAGAGCGAATACCAAAAATAAATGGGATTATTTTTAAGCGGTGAACTTACTAACTCAAAGATACTTGTTTCATTTTTCTATTTTTTGTTTTATTTTAGTTAATATAATATGAAATATAACATATTTTAAATAAAAAATAGTGAGTGAAACTAGGCCATCTGCTGCAGCTGATTTTCAGACTATTTTATATACATATGCAAAAGTATATTACCAAAAAATAAGTAATAAAATACGAACCCTGTGTGCTTTTACTAATTTTGTACTAACATAAAAATATTTTACTCTTTTAGGACAGTGTTAATCTCAGTCGTATAATATAATCTAATAGCAAAATAATTTATTTAATTCATTAATACATATTACATCTACTAAAAAATACAACTTACGAACTTACTTAAAATAATTTTAAATAGTCTTTAATAATACATATACATTTTACAACACAACGGCGTAAGTACTCCTAAATTATTAACACATAATTGGAATAATTACTTTGTTACAAATTTTATTCTCATCTCTGATCGTCTTATTAGAAGAATTTTTTAATAAAGAAATCAATTTACATAATTATGTGATAATATCGGCACACTAGTTTACGCGATGTAGAACAAACTTTAATTTCTACAAATATTTAAGAGATCAATTTTTAGAGATGAGAATATAAGGTATGAATTCATATTTACAATCAATATATATCTATACCAATGAGCAGGTACGTTTGGAAGGTATTATATAAGAAAAAGCTACAATCCAATTATTTAAATGTTATCAATACTTTCAATCAGTTTTAAGTAGGTAACTAAAAAGTGCGTGTTTATAAATTTTACAAATATTGACTTAAAATTTGATTCTAGTGTTATATTTCATTTAATAAATCTTGTATCAGTCTTTTCAAATGGTATGTATGTAAGTATTTTGTTATTTTGTAAACGGGGATATGGACTTTGTTAAAACTTGGATTGACTAACCATCCTAGGACAAGTTCACAAAAAATATTTTTTTCTTAAATTATCGTAACATTTGTTTAACACGAAAGCAACTATACAAATCAGAGTCATGTGGACATTACAGAGCAGTACATACTGTGGCATTTGCACTTAATGAGAAAATGTTTTAATTGATTTTATTTATGTCAGTATTTTATCATTTCCCCTCCTGACAAATTTTCTGTGGACGCCCATGGGCAGTCACAGTTTTTAATTAAAAAATTGGTATAAATAGTGAAAAATATAAGTATACAGAGTGCCAAACTTTAATGCTGCATTCTACAACACAAGTATTTAAAAAGGCTTCCTAATAACATGTGTCTGGAAATGCTCCTTTTTTGAAATACACGGTGTTGGCAAAAAGATGAAATCTATTTATCTGTCTTTCATCTGTGTCTTACGTATCTTGATGAAACTTGGGCTATTGACTTAATTAATTATGGGTAAAAATTTGCCAAATTCGTACACAAATCTGTCAATCAGTGGGGAAGATATTGGGAGACATGTTTATTAAGAACTCTAGAATTTGGACACCACTGAATATTTTGGAAATTGAGTAAATCAATAATTATTATTTGTCCTAAAAAATCATTGGTATAGAAATTATTCCCGAGAAATTTATTTTTTTCCTGGTGGTTTGTATGATGTTAAAATTGTATTTATACACAGGTTTTTTGTGGGATTAACAGTTTTATAGTAATTTTTTATTTAGTCAACTATGTTGGTAGCTTTATTTTAAATTTAAAAAAATAATGTCAAAAATGGCTCTTCTTCCGAATAAAATAGAACATATTTTTATTAGTGGAAATACTACGGTTCTCAGTGATGTTGTTTCACAGTATCTTTGCCAGAGGCTTGTACCAACTTAGTATATTTTTGTACATGGTTATTTAAGTCATCAGTCGAGTTTTATTAAACATCTTAAAAGATATTTATAAATAAATGCATGTTCTTTTTTTAAATTTAAACACTGTATTTCAAACACAGCATTTCCGGAGAATGTTTATAGGAATTTTTTTTATCTATTTGTGAGGTGGAATCCGCTACTCAATTTTAGCAGAGTACAATATTATCGCCATGTTTACCAGCTTACTAATATAAAAAATAAATATATATATATTTATTATTAAATTTAAGTCTGCTTAGCCCAGAAATAGATAATTCAAAATTGTCTATTTTACATATACAAAGATATCTTTCCTTACTAAATATTTAACTTTTTTTAGGTTTTTGCATACAGTCCAATGTTTTCAACAAACTAGGTAATATTTTAGATTAACGTCTGAAATTGTACTAACATTGGTAATATCCATATGTCACATTATTCAGTCTATTGAAAAAAAAAACCTTGTATAATAATTCTTATATATCTGTATATTACAGGGTTATTCTGATTATCAAATTAATGTATGTATACAGTATACATATGTTGTAAAAAAAATTATAATGGATTATGCTTACATCATATATTTTTTTACAAATAAAGAAATTAATTTAAAAATAATGAAGCTTTAAATTTTAATTGTATATTCATCCAGTATACTGGGAATAGCAAAGACAAGTATGTAGCTTATTATATTTAAATATTATAGATGTTCATTTAGATTTTATAAGTGCAGAAGTGTTATAAATACTTGAAAATTCAAAATAAAATTACAGCTAATTGTAAACTAAAATTGTACATTTATAAACATATAAAACATTTTTAGTCTAATACAAAATATTAGATTTACAAAACATATATACAGCCAATATTTGGAATATTCTCAGTGAATGCCTTTCAATATAAATTTCTTATTTAGCAAAATGAGTTATAATTTACAAACACTTGCAATATGTATAGCAATTATTTAAATTTAACTCACAAATTAATTAATTAAGAAAAGGAAATGTGGTGAAAACAACTACAAAATAACTAGATATATTCAAACACAAAGGTTTTAATATTAAGTCTTTGGACATTTTTTGTTAAATTAATTTATTCTAATATTTGATGTGAAATTAAATATCTTAATTATAATTTTAAAATATTCCGCATTTGATATAGCAATTTTTGTACAGATAACAATGGAGAAATATAGTAAAATATATACCTGTACAAAAATTATTTAGATATTTATTTATTAGAAATACTTTTGCGTTCTAACATCATAAAAAATTTGTATTTGCCATTTCTGTGACAATATAAGGAGCCCTACAAAATAATTCAAACATACAGGGTATCCTAGAAATAAGTGTCAAGAAAAACTATTAAACACAAACTGTTGCTTCTGTTGAGTTAAATGCGTGGTCAAAATTTTAGTATTTATTTTTGGGATACTTATGTTTTAAATCAAATAGTATTTATCTTTCCATAATATATTCTACTGTTATGTCAGTCATCCTTACTTATGTTTATGATTCATTGGAGGATTTTAGGGGAACGACGCAAGAAATTTAGAATGTTTAACACTGGAAAAATAACGATAGTAGTATTAAGGTTGGATTTCCTATATTGGGAAATTAAATTTTATACAGGTGTTACTTAGAAATAACTTTGTTAAATGGTCCCTTGCTCCATTTAATATTAGTGTTTATATTTATAATTTAACATCAGCGATGTTTTATTTATCAGAAACCTTATAGTTAATCTCATCCCACTGACCAACCAGAGTTAGCGTCAACTGAGATTAGCCGAGGTCTCAGGTAAACAAAACACGCCTATATGCTATATGGTTCAACTACTAAGGGGTACGTACTCAGGTCTGTACTATTCTAACATAAATGTTACTAACACAATATTTTATGTTGCCTTAAACTGATGGTCCCTGTAGCCAGCATATAGTATATTTTGTATATAATTTTGTTGTATGAGAAAATTAGCCAATAAGGTATCAAGGGGAAACACACTAAATACAGGGCGTAGGTATTTCAAAGTTGCTTGATTTGCGAGTTACAGAACGGTATGTTCATTAGCGTTACTCGAATTAGAACAACTGTTATGGTTGTTATGAGAGAATTTAGAAACAATATACCTAAAAGGAAAATCGAAATGCTGTTAGTTGAAGTTATGTTTGTAACAAGAATATGATTCACAAAATTGGAAATTAATTGTTAGTTGTATTTAATGAAATTTAACAACTTCGAAAATAACTTGTTCACTGTTGTTGTGTTGTAGAGTACATTTTCTGAACTTTTCAAAATTGTTCAGTGGACAACAGACTCATTTAGTGTGACATCACATATTTAGGCAACCCGCAAAAAATTGTTATAGTTGAAATTGTACTGACCGAATCTGAACCTTCAATTTAATTTATTTTTACAAGGGTTTGAAAGTATTTAAGAGCAACCAACACGTGTTCCATAAAATAGATACATTAATGTGCTTAAAACTTAGAAAAAACTATATAAAGAGATAAGAGAATATTTTTTATATTCCTAAATTTAAATAAAGTAAAAATTTAACATTAGCCGTGTTATTCCTAATGCTCATGCTTGGAAAAAATGGCCTCATACGCAGGTGAGCTTTTGTTGATATGTTATCTGTGCCATCGTTTTGTTTAATCTTGGCATTTTCTAGTTTTACTAAGTATTGATATTGTTTTTCTTGTTGTTGTACTGTGTCAGTGTGTTTATCGAGTGTTTTTTTCTTCAAGTGGTTTATTATAGACGTACTCTCAACCAATACTGAACTTTTCTTGAATGATATCCTGCTGCGAAGCTATTTCCCTTACATGAAATTATCTTTAATACGCATGCTCAGTAACATTGATATAATTTTAATTTATTAATTAGGTACTATAAAAGTCAATATTGTTCTGTAAATTTAAATATATAATTTCTATAATCCTATTAGTTTGTCACTTGGTGTTTGAAACTTCTTAAATATTTCTAATATTGCCAGAATATCGCAATACTTATGACAAAGAAGCCATATTTTTGGCACTTATGTCCAAAGTATATAAGGTCAAAAATCGATCTAGTAGAAATATTGAGAAATTGCACTATGGGGTTGCCATTATTTGGCGTATGTTACGTCACTACTAAAAAGGTCTATTTCAATAAAATTACTTTTCGATTGTCCATAAACTAAGTATGTGAATAAAATCGGTTTTTAAGAATTGTTTAATTAAAAACTTATATTTCTGCTTTTTTAGGTAGGTACAGTAAGAAATTTATATTGAAATATACATTTATATTTTACATATTAGTTACCTATATGTTAACATATACAGTTAACGACATAGACATTCGTGTTTAATACACATTATACATTTTTTGGTTATTGATAAAGTGTTCAAAAACAATTTAATATACCTAATAAAATTTTATATTTGTAAGTGTATATAGTATAAGATAGCAAACATTTATCATAAGTACAAGTGGGACATTACACAAGTTTCCTGGCATACGATATCCCGATTTCAGTTTAAGCGTTTTTCATATTTAGGTAAAAGTGCAGTGATTCATTTTTGTATTAGATAAAATTATTAACAATATCAAATATAAATATCGACTCCATTATTCTTACTTATCCGAATAAAATTCCAATAAAGCAATGTAAACTAAAATGATTGTCATGTAAAGATTTCCTAAAAAATCACGCTTACATCATAAGTTTTTAGACCAATATGAAACACTTAAGTAAATATTATTTGTCTCACTGTCTGAGCCCCATTCATATTTTTTACACTGAAATATTATTGATATACACAGCACATGAATGATAGGTAATCAACAACAGCGATATAGGTACATTCATTTATAATATGTCGAAACAGAAATCAACTTTTAAGTAGCTGCAAGTGTGAGAGTCTGAAAGAAAAGTGCTGACCTAAATTAAAGGAATAATCTTTTAACCTTCAAAGGTTGTTATACGAAATAAAATTAACATTCCTTCTGTAATAGCTATCTCTGACGTTTAACATATAACGATAATGACAACAATAAATACACATATTCTTCGATTCAACATTCCCGTCGATCCAACAATTTTTTACGTCGTTATTTAAGGGTTTCAATTGAGCACTATAGTTTCACATTTATCTTATGGTGTGCCAGCAGGCTACCGTTTTTCTAGGACTTTGGGTCATATCAGTCCAATGGTCCTTTTCTGGACCTGTCTCTTTGGGTCCTATCATGCAGCTTCCTATTAAGGGACTGTTGCCAATGAGGTCGCTGCCTTGATCGAAAACTGAAATCTAGAAAAATTGTTTTAGAGAAAAATGAAACAAAGATACCCTTACTCCTTGTACCTGAATAAGAGGAGTAAACGATATATGCAAAAATCTTAAAATCAATAACCGCTGGTTGTTAAGAAGAATTTAAGCAACGAATAAAATTATTTGTTTGAAAGAAAACGACTTTTTGCAACAATAGTAACTAATAGCTATAAATAGGACTGAAACAGAGCAAAAAGTAGCCGTTCTTGTTTAAAATTAAAACGTATTTACAAATAAATATTTTGAGAAAATTATCCTATTCTTTTCTCTGATGATTTGATACGAATTTAAGCATGGTCGGCGATTTCCAAAATTTTACGAAATGTTTTCTTGTTATAAAAGGTGTCTCATAATTCACGCAAAAAGTAATTTTGATTGAAAACTTTTGCCAAAACGAAAATGTTTTTGAACATTTACTGACATTTTTTAAAGAACAATATTCAGTTGGCGTTTTGATTATTCATATGCATTTTTAAGAATTAATTTGTCATAATAAAATTAAAATTGTAATAGTTTTAATTTTGACGCAACAACTTACTGAGTTATGTATGACCAAGTGATGGTAATAGTTAATAATAATAAATATTTAACTGTAACGCGTGGTGGTAATAGTTTAAATAACTAAATGAATTTCACAGGGTCTAATGACACTTACGATAATTCATTAAACAAAGAAATCTAAATAAAAAATTTAGATAAATTTGGAACGAATACATTGAAGATAAATTTTTCGAAACAAAACGTCTGAATCTGGTTCGGGCTGAGACAGTACAGTATTGGGGGTAATGATGGCTTGCAAAAAATGTAATAAAATTTCTAGGGTCGTATTTAAAAAAATGAAGTTGATGATGGTCTTGGAGAGACGAAACGTTACACACAAAAATTGATTATGCCATTCGATAGAGGGAAAAAAGTGGCCACGAGAAAGTGTTCTTCTTTTTTCAGTATCATCTCAAACAAGACTAAAATGAAACAAAAACGGATTTCCAAAATTTCTTTTTATTCAAATATTTCGCAAACTAATCATGTTAGCCTTGATTTTTTAGGGGCATAATGTTGGTCCCCTGATTACGCAACTTTGCCCCCATTTAAGCTACTTCGTAGCTCTTACCATTTCCGATATCCCTGTAGTGATAAGCGAATTTGTAACAGCCTGTATACTCGTATAAAGTTGCATTTCATTATAATAAGTAGGTATGTGTTTTTGTATTAATTATATTTAGACATACATATCATTTTTAGATTTTATTTTGAATGATTATTATTATTCGAAGAAATATCTCGTATTTTTAGTAAGTATTTATTTCCCGCAATATCTCTTGTCTTTGCGCTTATTGCATGGTATCGAACAACATTCGACTTCATATAAGAATCTTTAGAAGAACATTTTTGAATTTTTACAGCAGATTAAAAATTATGTTCCTTGATTTGAATATTATGTCGAAGACGTTTGTATAGCTTATAAAATGTTTCAGTAAATTTACCTCGACAGCAGCATTAGCCAAATTATTGGCAGATAGGCTAAATGTCAAAGCCTCATTCCACACTGGGTTGCAGCTTCCCTTCTTTGATCCTGTTTTCTTTTTCTTCACGCGCTTCCCATTCACCACCAAGTAGACCTTCACGAAGGGATCTGGAAAGTAATTAATTTGGCTAGATGGAAGAGATACACAAAAAGATGAGATGGAATCTTAAAAATTAGTCTCGACCATAAAGCCGGTTTATAGAAGTTAGTAGGGTAGTAAATCGGTTTTTGTAGCAACGGTGCTGTTTACTTATATAGGGCTTTAAAAAAGTTTTTACTGCCCTTAAAATAATTAAACTGAAAAATTCTCCGTGCATCTCTCGGTTTAAAAATAAAAACAAAACATTCGTCTTTTCAATGTAGTTTTTAGTACGTCAAAATGCATAATACAATATTGTGTGCAGTATTATAATTTACTTTTAAATTAAACAATGATACAAATATTCGTAATTCGAACATATATACAGTGCGTTCATGAAGAAAGGAACAAATTCGTTTAAAAGTCGGGTAATTATTTTGTGGAAAAACTCTCGGACACGTCGATTAGTATTTTTAGATGCGGATTTTTTGACATAAAAAAATTGTATACAGAGTGTCTCAAGAAGAACATACGCAGTCATCATTGTTTTTTTTAATTGGGACACCCTATATATTATGTCATTTTTTAATTTTACGGTAAATTGTGAACACTTTTTATGTAACATACCATATCTCTAAAATCAGCGGTAATGTATACAAAAAATGTTCAGAATTTACCGTACATTTAAAAATGGCATAATATACAGGGTATTTCATTAAAAAAAAATCCATAATGACTATGCAGTCATAATTGATTTTTGATGTTCTTCCTGATTCGCAACTAAAAATATTAATCGAGGTGTCCGAGCGTTTTTCTACAAAATAATTAGGTACCTGAATTTTAAACGAATTTGTTCCTTTCATCACTCTATACGGTTCTGTCGTTCCTAGAAAAGATTTCATTACTCAATTATTTAGAAAACCATTTTTATCTCTCTAAAACTAGGAACATTCCGATATGTTTATAGAAACTTTCTCTCTATCACCAGATAATGTTTGGACTATAAGCATATAATATTTAAATATCTTTTTCTTGAAATACAAACATGTTTAAAAATTCCGTTGAAATCGATCCACTCTGTAGACTGGTGAACTCAGTGCAGAAACTAACAAACCCAGAAAGCCCGTGTTTTCTACACGGAAATGCTCTCAAAGAGAAATTCATCATCAGAGCGCGTACGAACTTGACATCTACCACACAAGGTAAAGTATATATCTTATCTACCCCTCATATTCGTTATAATTATTAAGTTCTTTCCCTGATTTCATGTGTCTTCATATCTCAGTATCGCAGTAGGAAAAAGAAGAAAAAAATAAAAGCGTTGGATTAATTTGGGGTTCTAGAACTTACCGTTCGCAAAACTAAATTAAAAACATATTTTACTTGGGTGTTCAATATCTTCAAACATTAAAAAATTCAGACTAGCTACCATTATCGTATCATTAATAGGTAAAGAACTCATATAGTTGTGGCTGCTTTATATAAAGATGTATTTATTTTTTTTTAAATTTATTTTATGTTAAAGTAACACGGTTATGCAAATTTATTTTCTTAAAATTTTTATATTGATTTTTATATTAATAAGTAAAATAACAAAAAAAAATAATTTTATGGAAAAATTAAATTTTGAAACGCTAAGGTCAAACGTTCAGATTAATATGAATATAAGTATTTTAAATCCAATATGTTTGTCCTTTTATAAGTCCCTTTTTAATATTACATTTTTTATTCTTATATTTTTAATATATTTTTTAATGTATTAATTGTAAGTCAAATTAATTCTAAAAATTTCCTATAATTCTCATTAAATTACGTAATAGGTAATAATACAATATGTATGACTAAAAAAGGACTTTTTCATTTTCATTTTTTTTTCTAAATAATTATTTATCTATTTAATAATACTTATCACACTACGAAATAAATAAAAAAAGGAGGCAACTTCTTAAAAGTTTCAAAGCGGAAATTGTTGAAGAATAACTATGAAAGTTTCTAACAGACTTTTTCTGTGTTTTTATTTGATTTATTCGCTGATTCTCGTCTCAAGTAACCAGAAAAGTAAGAAATAAGTGATTTATTATGTTTGGGAGTTTTCCTGTCTGTTTCCGTGCGTTAAAATTTTACACGTTACCTAGACTTTCAGTTATACCTAGGGTTTCATGAAGTCAAGTAAAATGATATTTTTAGAAACTTGACGTTAACTCGGACTTTTTAAAAATTCTCGCTCGCCATTACCTTTACTCGATTAAAGCGATTTGAAAAGTGCTAAAATATAATTTTAATCCTCACACTTTAGAAAGATGTTCAAAAAATTGTTCAAATTTTATACACATGTATACACATACACATTATTTTTCAATGATCGATACAAAAACAATTATTAATATAAAAATATTCTCAAAATTGGCGCCCTATTTGAAAAGTAAATTTGTTTAATCGTCAATAGAAATCTAAGGTTTTGACGAAAGTAGAAATCAAAACGTTTGTAGAAGATGTTTCCTAAATTGTATGAAATATTTCAGAAGCTAATTCTTTACATTATCATTTTACATTATTTTCTGGAAAAAAATATTTATGTTCAAAAATATTTCATTTCCAAATTGAAAGGCGTCGAAATTTAGTTTTTAAAGTTTTGTTTTAATATATTAAAAATTGATTGATATATTTTTCTCAAACTATAAAGACTACCTATTAGAGGTCATGTTTTAGACTACCTATTAGAGGTCATGTTTTGACTACCCATTAGAGGACATGTTTTGACTACCTATTAGAGTTAATTTTGACTACCTATTAGAGTTCATGTTTTGACTACCTATTAGAGGACATGTTTTGACTACCTATTTGAGGACATGTTTTGACTACCTATTAGCTAATTTTGACTACCTATTAGAGTTCATGTTTTGACTACCTATTAGAGGACGTGTTTTAACTACCTATTAGAGTTAATTTTGACTACCTATTAGAGTTCATGTTTTGACTACCTATTAGAGGTCATGTTTGGACTACCTGTTAGAAGTCATTTGACTACCTATTAGAAGTCATGTTGACTACCTATTAGAGCTCATGTTTTGACTATCTACCATTTTGATTAACACTATTAGAGTTCATGTTTTAACTACCTATTAGAGGTCATGTTGATTACCTATTAGAGTTCATGTTTTGACTACCTATTAGAGGTCATATTGATTACCTATTAGAGGTCGTGTTTTGGCTACCTATTAGAGGTCATGTTTTAGTATAAAGAATAATTTAATCATATCACCAGATGCATGAATTCATTGACATTTTAAATTTTTTTTAAATGTTATATTCATATTTATCTTACCAATTTCATTTGAAGCCTCGTTCAAGAGAAATCAATTCAATGAGAAGATCAATAAATTGATATTGGCTAACGCCTTATGCCTTATCCATAAATAACAAGACTCGTTCGTCAAAGTATTTATTTACGAACTTATTATGTCAACAGCTGAATATCTTTCAAAGCATCTGTATTATAATTTGTTGACGATGTGATAGATTCCTGTTGGAATAATATAAATAGAACCTTTCCAAAACTTACCCATGTTCTCCTTACACTGAGGAAGGAACAAATTCCTAGCCTTCAGCATGACTACAGTCAGCCGCTCAGCAGACGGCAAGTAGCTCAAAGACACCAACACCTCCTGAAGATCTTCCCTGGGTACCTTATTCTTCGTTATCTCTCCCCAAATCTCGAGACTATTACCTATATCATAATCCCCCATGTTCATGGTAACCTCGCCGATGATATCGTTTCGAGAGTAGCGATCGTAGTCGAACACTTGCAGAACGAGAGTTTTCAGCTGCAGTTCCTCGTGGGACACAGGAAATTTGAAGTGCTGATCGAAGAATGGATTGGGGTCGTTGCGATGGATGGTAGTCTGACGCTTGCGAGCGTCGACTTCTGGTATTAACGCCAATTTGACGTAGGGGTCATTGAAGCCGCCTTGTTCACTGCCAGCCAAGTCATGAGCTGAAAATAATATTTTAATGTTTGATATTGTTACGAGGAATGGTTCTTTTCAATATTTCACTTTTAATTTGGCTAGATAAGTCTTCACTTAATAAAAGTAGTCAGTTAATTCCCAAATGTAAAACTGTCACCCTTATTCGTAGGTTTTCTTGTTTCGTACCAAAATTATATAATCAGCTATCTAATGATATCAGAAATATGGCACTAGTCAATTTTAAGGAAATATTAAAACCATTTGTAGGAGACCAACTTTTAACTGCATTTTATTATCAGAATAGAAACACCATAGAATTGTATAGCTAAATTAGGATAGATAAATATCATTGTACAAAAGAAGCAATGTATTCGACACATTTATTCACTAAAGAAATCTAGGGACCAAATATAATTAATATATTATGTTTAAGGCTAAATTGAAAAGCAGCTGGAGCTGAATTTCAACTTTTATTCCAATTATTTTTATATGGTTGCATCCGATCTTATACGTTTGTTATCAAAACTGATAGACTATTATTAATCTTTGATAATCTGGACAGAATATGCAATGTGAAAAAAAAACTTATCCGCTAATCCACCATAGAAATTCATCCAATAGGAACCACCTTATAGAATTATTTACTTTGAGAATGTGATCCATGCAGCGAAAGTATGGATTGCCTCCCTCAGGCATTGGAAAAGGTAACTTTAAAAATTTCTATAATGCAGTTTTAGTTCTCCAGCAAGGAATATCTGTCGTTTACTCCGCTGTTCGTTTCGTGATAAAATAAAATTACTACTAGAGATGGCTATGACTTTTACCAACGATCTACAGATACAGGAACGTTAAAATGAAGGAATACAGATGGTACCAGATAATCATGATAAAAAGATATGATAATTGGGCCAAATATACGACATGGATTAGAGATATTTTTACCTAACAATAAAAATAGAAAACCTTTTTTGACAATCTTAACTTCACGGCATTTGGACTGCGAATTTTAATATTATAGAATAAAAGGAAGTCAGATGAATCCAAATCCAGCAGCAGCTGAATACCTAAATCGATCCAACCTGATTTCTTGAGATAGTTACACCTTTTAAACCTCATTGACTACCGCAACTCCTATTACTGCATTACCATCTGCGTTACTTTACCTAATATAATCGTCTTAATGGTACTCATGTTGACTTAAAATTATATTAATATTGAATATGTGGTAAACTTAAATCAAACTGAAATAAAAACCAAAAGTAAACTATTGTTATATCCAGGATAATAAACTAAGTGTACTGTTTATCTAATGTTATGAGCGTTATGGGATATGGATTAAGGTTTGCCAAATTTGCAATATAATTTTTATACTTAATCCAAAAAATTTAGAACAATAGTGCACTTCCTTACATTTCTTCTAGCATTTTTTCTACTAAAGGTAATTAGATAACTTATTACACTAGTTCATAGACTTTATTTGAAGCTTGTTTTTAGGGATTAAAAATAATTTATTAATTAATTAAACAATATATGCTGATATTTTTCATCCCAACAGCCATAGTAAAAAGCTTTGCTAGGGTAGAAGATTACTCTCTAGTTATCGTAATAAGAATATGGAATTGGAGCAAAGAACAAAAAGTTAACAAAAAACTTCTTACTAATATTACTAGTAATAGTCCAATTAACTAAGCCTTTAAATCGAAATTTTGCCAACTTGGCTGAATTTTTGATATGAGTTAGTTTAAGGTATATTATAACAATAAGTGAGAGTAATTTTTTGTTCAACCCCCGGCCAAGGGTGGAAAAAGATAAAACAAAGGGCTTTTTCAAGATAACTCAAAAAGGGTAAGAGCTAGAAAAAAAAGTTTTTCATGAAAGTTGTAAAGCAGATAATTCTACATAAAAATGGCTTCTTAACTTTTTCTGGTACTATTACAATTAACAGAGTTAGGGAGGCTAGAATTTAAGGGACGATTTCAGAAATTTAAAAAAAATCATAACAAACAGAAAAATGATTGAATTTTGTAATTTTTTTTTTCAATCTGCTCTAAAATATGTAACTTTTCTTTTCAGAGAAATAGATATATTTTTTAATTTTTAATAAGAAAGTTATAACAACAAATCAAATTTTTAATCGTTAATTTTAATGATTTAACAAAATTAAATTTCTGAAATCTTCCCTTAACTTCTAGCCTCCCTAACTCTGTTAATTTTAATAGTACAAGAAAAAGCTAAGAGACCATTTTTATGTAGAATTGCCTTCTTTACAACTTTCATGAAACTCATGACTTTTTTTTCTAGCTTTTACCCTTTTTGAGTTATCTTGAAAAAGCCCTTTGTTTTATCTTTTTCCACCCTTGGCCGGGGGTTGAACAAAAAATTACTCTCACTTATTGCTATAATATACCTTAAACTAACTCATATCAAAAATTCAGCCAAGTTGATAAAATTTCGATTTAAAGGCTTAGTTAATTGGACTATAAGTTTCTTGAACAAAATATTTGTTGTTAAGACAGGGCGTAATCTTTCTGTTAGGATTAATTTCTACTTATAGTTAAAAGATATTTCCCTCAGTGTACGTTTATCATAGTTCCTACTATTAACTATAAAATTCAGGTAATCGTGATTTTAAAAAATGGCGTTTAAATATAGCAGTTTTCCTATATGAATAGTAGTAAAAATTGTATACTTTTTTATAAGTACCTGTAGTCTATGAATATTTAGTTCGCCTATTCATTTATTTCTTCAACATTTCCCAAGGGTACAGGTGAAAACTTGTTTAAATTATTTTAGCTTTGTTTGCAATTTTGAATAAAATTAAAGAAAGTTCATGTTCACACTAATGAGATCGTCAGACGTTTCTGGTCCGAATAGCAGCAGTACCTGTTCCCTGAAAAACACGTCGCAACAAAAGCTTGGCTTCGTTATATTGAAAGTCTCCTGCTCTGCAACTGTGAAAGCATGATTCTATAAAAGAACGCTCTTTGTTGTACGACATGCAAAACTCCGTGAGGTTATGAGAAGCAGCTTGATATTTTTGAATAGTTTAATCATGGTTTCATAACAATGAAAGCTGTTGGAAATGTTGGCTTTACAACTCACTGTCCTCAGTTATTTATTTGCTGAATCAAAGATTGGCCAAATTTTTAGGGTTGTGTTGGTTTTTTTATAGACAATATAATGTAATGAGTACAATAAAATCAGCATATAGTTTCTCTTGTACTGATTACAAATAAAAAATAAGTAAATAGGTGAATAATAATTGTTTTCCTGTGAAGATTAGTTACTTATTTATCACAAAACGTATAGACAGATGTAATAAAATATGAAAAATGCAGAGAAAAAGTATCAACTTTGAGCTATGGTATTTACATCGACAAATGTGCCTAGTAAGACGCCGCAGTATCCGAGTTTCTCTACATGTATTACGATATTTATCCCCCAGCCTCTTATTGACGTATTCTTACTTCCTCAGAGAAGTTTATAGTAACTCAATTTCTAATACTCCAACACTTCGATGCCCTGGAGATGATAAAGCAATAAGAGTATAACTTTGCCTCGAATGAGATGAACCGTGACGTCGGCAAATAGAACCTTTTTTATTTGTAAATATTGCTCCTAATAAAAAGTTTGTTTCTCCTTAACATTTGATCTCATATACGGGTAGATTTGTGTCTCTAAAAGTACTCAGCCCCCTTTATAAGTTCTTACAATATTTTTAATGACAGATATTATCTGAAAATCAAAACCTTCAATGGCTTGAACAAATCAGTATAATTTTTACTTTTCAGGAGCTTTATTTCTATCACATACATCATACTATCATCATATCACAACGAACCTTCTTTTTATTCGGACGAACACATTTTAAACGTATTTAGTGATTACCTTCAATAAGATGCACCACCAAGTCACTCCTGTCGAAGTCATAGCTGAGCCTGAAGTGGAGTCTCCCAAGACTTCGTCCGGACTTGTTATTCCCCCCAATGAACAAAGGCCCATCCTTTCTCAGGTACAAGTCGGGTTGTATGGCCCCTAGGGGGCTAGCAGGGGGGGCAGAGCATGTCGTTTCCGGCGTTCCTCCTCGCGAACTGTGGATAAGCAGGGGAGATAGGCACCTCCCTAGGCCGGCAGTCCTCGGAGAAGCTGGTATGGGTGAGTTGCAAGAGCTTGCGGATCCCCCTGGAAAAAATCATTTATTTGTTTTGTCATACTTTGATTTATTTGTGGAAATGAATTGCGCGCATAGCTTCTCGTGAACAGTACACTGAAAAAAACTTTCCGACTAATCTACTTAGTGTAGCAATACATTTCACTTAAAACTTGAAACAAAATATTTGCTACAGTTAAAATATTAAATTGTTACAGCAATGCAGTCTATTTACCTTTAAGGAAAGTATTTGTTTTTTCTTTGAGATTGTCTCATAACTTTCTACAAAAAAAATTTGAACAAAATCGAACTTTGGGATTAGAAGAGATTTGAAGAACTCCATCTGCCAAAAAAAGTTATCTTCTTTAACAAATTTGTTTAGATTGTCAGCAGCAGACCATAAAAGCCAATTATTTTATTCTAATTTCTATATAACTAGATTTCTGTAATTATGGAAAAGTCAAATCTACCCCTCGGGCTATCTATCATTGAAATAAACGTAAATTTATGCAAGAATTTAAGTTATATTTTTCTCCTATGTTTCTTTTTCTCTTAACATTGTCATCAGTTTTATATTCAATAAATATTGGGAATAACATGAGATTGACTGTAATGTTGGCCCATACAAACCATTTTTTTTTACCTGTTAATGAGGCCAGACTCGATTGCGACGGTGATGGCGTGCGAATTTCGGACATGGCTCCGATATGAGACGTACCAGGAGATGAACACCGGATGTCGAGAGAGGCAGCTCTGAGTGGTGAAGGGGACCTGCTGGATGTACGTAACGGATAACTGGACGTATGTATGGCATCTTGGTGCACTGTAGTCTTGCCGTCGGGGGCAAACGTTCTGATCTGGGGAGAAGAACCGCGGTGTCCCTGAAAAAAATATAAAATGAAAGTAATGATTCATTTATCGCTTAGTTCTCAAACAAAACGATAATCGCAAAATAGGTCAGTTGCTGCAAACTTTCAAGATTGATCCATAAAAATAAAAAGAAGTATCATTTAGCATTTTTATTCTAATACGATTTCTATGGAATCCAAGAGGCAAAGTTAAAATTTCAGAATACAAAATTTCTTTTTAAGTCTAAGGTCCGTAAGTAAATCGTACATGGCATAGGGATCTTGTAATATGCAGTGGACATACAGTAGAGTCCACCTGTTGGTAGAGTTAAAGAATATTATCCAGGTTTCAAAAGTTAAATTTTCATTCGTCACCAAAAATCAATTTTGAATTAATAAAAATCTTCCTAAGTCTAGAGTTTACAGATGCAACGATAATGATGAGCATCATCAACGAACATTTTTAATTCGATTAAGTTACAGTTCAGATAACATTTGATAAGCATAATACATATCAGAAAACTAAAACCTATTGTTTTCATATTACTACATTAATAAACACACAACAAGCATGGCTGTGAGATCCAACACTCCAACAAACCCCTTCATTAAGTGGAGGTTTGTTGCCTTACTATTAGTTGTAAAAACCTCAACACTAAGTCTTCGTGGTGACAATCATGCGGAAGTTTTATCGCAGAAGATTAGGTACTTAACATTCGAAAATTATCTGGGAGACTGATTCATCTTTCTCATTTGATAGTGTCCATCATTGTACAGGCCTATTATATGTAGATGTTTTGTCAGATTATAGTATCGCTAATCTACTTAGTTGCAGTATGTCAGTTCTTTCAATAATTTATTGACCATCGAGTTCATATGCGATTCCAATGTACTTACTAACTGGTATTGTAGTTTCTCGGTTATGACATCACGCAGTGATGTTTTTGGTATTTTGAATAACTGCTTCTTCGCCGACCATTATTCCTTCATGCCCAGACCCATATGAGTGTTACTTCATTGTAGATTGCCAAAGAAGAATTTGCCAAAGTTTTCATTACTGCTTAGTTGTGGATGTTGAAAAGAATAATTTTTTTCTTATATTGCCTTCTGCAGACAGAGCTCAATGACACGTATTTCAACCTGAAATATGGTTGTGTAGTTTCCCATTGTTTGTTTTGTATCTACTAGACTACTAGAGTATGACGCTAGTGCTCTAGGCTTTTTAGGCAGGTTATTTCTACTTTATCATTCCAGTTTAACTGAATATTATAAGGTTTTTTGAACTCCAGTTTTGGAAGCACTCCCTTTTCATCTCGAATTGATGATATGTGATGATTATAGGCGAGGCAATGAAGCACAAAAGTTCGGAATTTTTTCCATAAAGACGGATCGGAATGCGGTTTTTTGGATTCTCTTCCAAAAATTTTTTGTAAAAAATGTGGCTACTTTGTGTTTCTGACAAACCGGAAATTGCATTGCTGCAGCCAAAAATGCATTCAAAAAATGCATTTTTTGAGACGGCTTTTGGAAGATTTAATAACTTTGTAAATAAGAGTCAGAACTGGCCCAAATCGGGTTCCCAGGGGTTTTCGAGGTCACTGATCACGATTATGATGATCAAATTGACCCACAGCCGACCTGGAGCTCAGGAACGCCGATGAACGTCATCTCCGTGGGACTCTCCCAAAATTCACGAGGGAAGAAGAGAAACTCGGCGCCCGGGTTTTTTTTGGGTCGCTGAATCCAAATATGGCATCGGCAAACACCTGGTGTACCGGAATCTGGACGTGGACGTCATCTCCGAGAATTTTCCTGACAAGATTGCCAAAAACAACCCGAAAATCATTATGGGGGCGTTTTTTGGGGCGCTTAATCCAAATTTCACGTCGAAAACGATCCCCTGAACATCTGGTGCACCGGAACCTGGACGCGGACCTCATCTCCGAGGGTTTTCCTCACACAATCGAAAGAGACGAACCGAAAAGCGTTATGGGGGCGTTTTTTGGGGCGCTGAATCCGAATTTCACGTTGAAAACGACCGTCTCCGAGGGTTTTCCTCGAGTGTCAAATTATGAGCCGATTTTCGATTAGTTTTTGCGATCGTGTCTGGAAAACCCACGGAGACGACGTTCAGGCCGAGGTTCCGGTGCACCAGGTGTCCGGAGGTACGTTTTCCGGGTGAAATTTGGATTCAGCGCCCCAAAAAACCCCATAACGATTTTCGGTTAGTTTTTTGCGATCGTGTCTGGAAAACCCTCGGAGACGACGTTCAGGCCGAGGTTCCGGTGCACCAGGTGTCCGGAGGTACGTTTTCGGGGTGAAATTTGGATTCAGCGCCTCAAAAAAAAACCCATAACGATTTTCGGTTTGTTTTTAGCGATCGTATCTGGAAAACCCTCGGAGACGACGTTCGGGCCCAGGTTCCGGTGCACTAGGTGTTCGGGAGATCGTTTTCGACGTGAAATTTGGATTAAGCGCCCCAAAAAACGCCCCCACAATGATTTTCGGGTTGTTTTTGGCAATATTGTCAGGAAAACTCTCGGAGATGACGTCCACGTCCAGGTTCCGGTGCACCAGGTATTTGCCGATGCCATATTTGAATTCAGCCACCCAAAAAAACCCCGGGCGCCGAGTTTCTCTCCTTCCCCGCGTGATTTGTGGGAAAGTCCCACGGAGATGACGTTCATCGGCGTTACTGAGCTCCAGGTGTTCGGGGGGTCAATTTGAACATCATAATCGTGATCAGCGACCTCGAAAATCCCCGAGTACCCGATTTGGACCAGTTCTGACTCTTATTTACAAAGTTTTGAAATCTTCCAAAAGGCGTCTCAAAAAATGCATTTTTTGAATGCATTTTTGGCGGCAGCAATGCAATTTCCGGTTTGTCAGAAACAAAAGTAGCCACATTTTTTACAACAAATTTTTGGAATACAGTGCAAAAAACCGCATTCCGATCCGTCTTTATGGAAAAAATTCCGAACTTTTGGCCTTTTTAGTGCTTCATTGCCTCAACTATTATATTTATTATACTGGCCTTTTGGTCCCATATACCTCTTGCCATCATATGCTTTATGCCCCCATTCTTGCGTCTTCCTAAAGAAATGCAGAAAACTTCTCCTCAGAATATGTAACAACTTGCAGTTAAGTATAAATTTCTTTCGATTTTGATATTCTCAATTTTATTCCAATTCTAAATTCCTCAATTTTGATTTCCTCTTCTGCCTTCCTTTTTTTGTATTCTTAGAACATTCTTTTTGCTTTATTTCACTTCATTTTACTCACTTTCACTTTCTTATCTACTACCTATTCACAGTTCTTCCATTCCAATGATATATATTTTCATTAATATTTCCCTGAATTATTGTTTATGTTTTTTAACATTACATTTTGTCATTCTACTATCAAATTTGTGTATGTCTTCCTTTGACATTTATCAATTTTGAATTATAATTGTCTTTTCCAGGTTAGCACCACGTATGAATGCTTATCAGCTAATTAATGACTAATTATGTTATATTTCACAGTGGCGTACTACCCTATGCTATTCCCATGGGGAAAGCAAATGTAATATGGAAACTGCAGTAAAGGACGTAAGTATCCTTCTTTTTGTTAGTTAGGTGTCTGAGAGATATTTAAATATAAGTTTTTTGAAAATTTAAACACACCGTACCTAAAAAAACAGAAGCAAATATTTGTACAAAAAAAAATTCTTACATTTAGACAAGGAAATTGCTTCCTCACTTTTCCTGTATTTTTAATGAATTACACTTTTCCACACATTACATGGTATACGATATAAGTAATTTATTATTTTCGTTGGTACGGTAAAAAGTGGTAAATACTTTTTGCTGTCTCTTTTTGTACCAATTCAATAATTGCTATGAATACCAAGTGTCCCAACTGCAATAACAGTATAAGACAGGGTGGATCCTTTACTACATGTGATGGCTGTCGACTTGAAGTGCATCTGACTTGTGTGGGTTTAAGCTCTGATGATGTAAGGATGACTCGCAATAAATCAAAGTCTGTGAAAATCCTTTGTAATTCTTGTAATAAGTTTATGGGTGAACTTGGTGATCTCAAAAGTTTAATAGCATCACTTAAAGATGATTTCAGTAAGAAGATTTTAGGCTTGGAACAAAAAATTTGTCAAGCCAATCAATCGGAACTCGCTGAATTGAAATCGTCTGTAGATAACTTGCAGAAAGATTTAAATGACTTAAAGACTAATAAGTTGGAACAGTCAAACAATTCCGTTTTTGAAGACGTTGTTCAAGAACTTGCTGAAAGGCAGAAAAGAAGATGTAATTTAATTTTCTTTGGAATAAATGAGCAACAAGCGCAGAGAGCAGACGATCGTGTGTTGGCTGATAAAGCTATTATTGATGATGTGTTTGGTTCTGCTAGTGACTCATTACAAAATATTAATTACAAGATTGTTCGGCTTGGAAAATATTCACCAAATAAGATCAGACCTATCAGGGTTACTCTTGATTGCGAAGATAATGTGCATATGGTAATTGGGAATGCCAAGTTTCTGAGAACCGTTGAAAGGTTTAAACACATCTCAATATCATTAGATAGAACCCCTAAACAAATTGATCACTACCGTCGAGTTAAGAGAAATCTCGATGAAAGAAAACTCAATGGAGAATCAAACATAAGAATTAAATTTATTAATGGGTGTCCTAAGATTGTTCATTTAAACTAGTAAATTCACCCAATTATATCGAACTCTCTGAATTGTCCTGTTACTATCAGAATGTGCGAGGTTTGAACACTAAAATCATAGACTTTTACAATTCGGTATCGACGTGCGAATTTGACCTTATTGCTATAACTGAATCCTGGTTATCTGAAGATGTAAGTGATTCTGAAATATTTCCAAGCTCCTATACTGTGTTTAGAAGTGATCGAAACTTTGCAGATACGGGTTTGACTAAGGGCGGTGGAGTGTTGTTGGCTGTGAACAGTAAATTTAGGGCAACTGCTGTTAATATTGATGTAATTAACTCATCATTTCCGCATATTGACCTCATAGCATGTAAGATTGTAACTAATGAAATTTTGTATGTTATTGTGTTATATATTCCCCCTTCAGTTGCTTTAGATCAATTCGAGGCTTTTGTAGATGCTATTGAGTCTTTACACTATCTTTTTGCGCAATGTAAGGTGTTAATACTTGGTGATTTCAATGTTCCTTTATTTAATTCTCATATAAGTGATACTAAAACTAATATAGTCAATAATTTCATGGCTTTTCTAAATCTCAGTCAACGGAATGATATTGTTAACAGTAATAATAGACTGCTTGATCTTGTTTTGTCAAATTTCGATTGTATCTTAAGCAAGGATGAAAGCCCTATTGTGCGCGTTGATGATCACCACCCGGCACTTAACTTTGTTGTGAAGTTGGAGTGTTCCAAACAGGCCGATTTTAATTTTGCTCACTGCTGCAAAAAGTATAATTTTAAACGTGCTAATTACCCTTTGCTATATGAAATGATTCAAAATGCAGATTGGTCTTCCCTCAGGTCATGTGCTAATGTGAATGATGCTTGTAACAGGTTTTATCAAATATTAACCAGTATCTTTGATACATGTATTCCAGTATTTAAACATTTTAAAAGAAAATATCCACCTTGGTATTCTGCAGATATAATAAGCAATTTACGTAAAAAAAGTCTAGCACATGCTAATTTTAATAAATATGGAACTTGTTACCATCTTGAGCAATTTAAGTATTTAAGATCTCTAACTAAAGCTCAAATTAAAACAGCCTATGTAGCCTATATACAGAATCTTGAAAAAAATATAGTAACTGACCCCTCTAAATTTTGGTCGTTCATTCAATCCAAGAGAAATTCATCAAGGATACCTGGTATAATGCATTATAATGACAGTACATTTGACACTCCTCAGGATGTGGTTAATGGATTTTCAACTTTTTTTTCGAATGTGTACCTGCCCTCAAATGTGGCTCCCCTGAAAGATTGTAACTCATTTGGTAGTACCTGTATAATTATTGATTCCATCTCTGAAGATGATATCATCAAAGCTTCCAAAAAATTGAAAAATAAAATGACATCTGGAGTTGATAATGTTCCAAGTTTTATAGTCAAAGATTGCATTTCCGCATTGGCTACACCACTATGCTTAATATTTAACCTTATATTGAAGAATTGTGAGTATCCTGACTTGTGGAAGTTGACTAGGATTTGTCCCATATTAAAGTCCGGTGACCCGTCACAAACTAGTAATTATAGACCTATTGCTATTCTATGCAATTTTGGAAAACTATTGGAAACGATCATTTATGACAATGTTTACAGTTCAATAAAACGAGTAATATCCCCCTTCCAGCATGGGTTTGTGGAAAATAGATCAACTGTGACAAATTTAACATGCATCACTCAGTATATATCTAGCATACTTGACAGACGGGGGCAAGTTGATGTTATTTATACAGATATACAAAAAGCATTCGATCGTGTTGATCATTTCCTTTTATTGGCTAAATTAGATAATATAGGGTTTTCATCTAATCTATTGACCCTGATGAGGTCTTACTTGGTGAGTAGGCGGCAATTTGTGGAATATGGCGGATACAAGTCTAACGAATATTTGGCCACATCGGGTGTCCCTCAGGGGTCGAATCTTGGTCCACTTTTATTTTTAATATTTATCAACGATTTGTCTTTATTGTTAAACTCGCGCCACTTACTCTTTGCTGATGATTTGAAAGTTTATATGGAAATAAGTAACTTAAATGACTGCATTAGCTTACAAAATGTTTTGAATACTGTCAGTCAGTGGTGCAGTGAAAATTTTTTGAGTCTCAATATATCTAAGTGTAAACTACTTTCATTTCATATGAAATATAATCCGATAGTATACAATTATTCTCTAAATGGTAGCACTTTGGAAAGAACTGA